AAATGTGAAAATGAACCTCCATTTGAAAAAAATGAACGCGAATATTTTTCGAGTTGACAAATTCCTCGAACCAGTGGTGGTACTAAGTCATACCAGAAGGAAGTATTAAAATTGGGACTCAGTGACTGAGCTATAAAGGCCAACGTATGGGTACTGACTTTTGGCCCACCCTGTATAATTATATAAATGTTCAGTTACCAGTTACTAGTTACCAGTTACCAGTTACCAGTTACCAGTTACCAGTTACCAGTTACCAGTTACCTGTAACCAGTTACCAGTTACCAGTTACCAGTTACCAGTTACCAGTTACCAGTTACCAGTTACCAGTTACCAGTTACCAGTTACCAGTTACCAGTTACCAGTTACCAGTTACCAGTTACCAGTTACCAGGACGAACTCTTCAATTTAATCGGGTGCTATCTGCGCTCATCTGCACTACAACTGTCCTATCGGCTCAAATATGCTAGGATTGGAAAAATAAACGCCTGTCAATAATCTGGTGACAGATTGGTGGCCTGTTTGGAATGCTGTGCACTATCATTGAATGCTTTCTTAAAAAGATAAGTTTCGCCAAATAAGAAATGTCTGAGTTAAGAAAAAAACAAATTCCTCGAAACATTTTCTCAGCCCATAACTACACTATACTAGACTATAGTCGCCTTAAAATACTCTATTCCTTTATTTCGGAGAAAAAGAGCATTAAAATACTTATTTACTGGCGACATGACTCTTGATTATTAATTAGGATCAATTGGAGTGGTATTGTATTAATTACTACATATACATTGAACCGTTATCATTGAAAGATCATTGTGTCAGTGCCTCAGATAAAATACCAGAGTCAATAGCCATTAGTCTAAAAGACCTGCCTTCAGTTTTAACTCCTTCAAGACTAGAGTCACGAAGTCTTGGATATAATAATGGTTGAAATACAGCAATATGATTATAATAATATGAAACATCCGCTATAACAGAATTCAAAAGAAATCCTCATAATCAAATGATATGTCATTAATTCAGAAACTCCTCATCATATGTTTGACGCATACTTTTCCTTTGTCGATTGAAGTGTGGACGGGCGGACTTGCCTGTTGTAATTTTCATTTCCCAAAGGGGAGGTTTCTTGTTTTTTCAATCTTCAAATTAATATCTTCGATACTAATAAGTTTGCATTTCACTGAAACCAGATCTTTGTTTTTTAAATAAAAAACCCTTTCGTTGTGAAGAACTGTTGTGCAGTACGAAATTCTACTTCTTTAATGCCTTAGTTTGCCAGTAATGATTTGAAAAGACTGAGAGTGAGAGTCGTCTAAGTTTACAAGGATCCGGATTCCGGTGGGGTTCATGGGTAAACTACCTTTGTACGAAATTGGGTCTTTGGCAGGATCATTCCTTGAAGACTTCACATAATATCTTAAACTTCGCATCTTTGGAGATGCAGAGCAGGTGGGGTGAGTGGAGAGAGCTCGTAATGAAGACGGATTTGAGCTGGCATACACTTTTTAAGTATGGTGACTCACTTATTGGGTTCATGCTAAGTGCTGTGTACGGCACCCTCTTAACCCCCTCTATGGTTTCCAAGTGGAGTGAAGATGAGGATGGGAAGTGCAAGTTATGTGAGGAGAGGATGGGCACCATTCAGCACATTTTGGCTGGGTGTAAGGTGGCTCTTAGTCAAGGAAGGTATATATGGCGGCACGACAAGGTTCTGAAGCAGATCTCAAAACAGGTTGTCTTCCATTGTGATCGCCGAGTGAACACTTATAAGAACAAGGCCGGCGATTTTGTTCCTGCTGGGAGGAGAAAAGCAGGTACAGACGACCGGAAGGAGAGTCGTGGTTTTGGGATCCTGAGTGGGTATCGGGATTGGATAGTGCTGTCAGACCTTGAGGGGCAGCTTAAGTTTCCCGGTGAGATTGTGGAAACACGGCTGAGGCCGGACCTTGTGATATTCTCAAGGTCGGCAAAGACAGTTATTTGGTGGGAGCTAACAGTACCATCTGAAGAGCGGATCGCTGAATCGCACGAGTACAAACTCGACCGATACAGCGGTCTGCAGGCTGAGATTCAGGCGAAAGGTTGGTGCTGTTATAATGCCGCAGTCGAAGTTGGAGCTAGGGGAGTGGTTGCGCAGAGTTTGGAGAGAGCTGCGAGGAGGATTGGTTTTAGGGGAAGAGAGCTGAAGAAGCTGGTACGGGACAGTGGGAAAGAGGCAGCCCACTGTTCCAGATGGATCTACTTGTTGTCGGGGAGGAGGGAGTGGGAGTTCAGGAAGGTTGGAGCTTGAGAGTTCACTATAACATCTAGAGGTACCATAAACGTTATCTCGTCGCCAATTGCGAGCTCTAACGGGTCTCCTCAAGTGACTCTCGGATCAGATGGTTGTTCAAGGGTGGACTGCTGGGGCGCCTGACAGGAAACCGTATTGCGATTAAAGCCCCGAAACGGTGTCAGGTTGGTAACTGATGATTCTGATCCATGCTCCTGTCAGTTTGCTGTTGTATCTCAACTCGCTAAACTGAGGCATCTCCGCATCTTGGGTGAATATGCGTACATCTTCATACTAAACCCAGGTGTGGCATGTGTCAGTGAATACGGGCGAGCGGATGCAATAGCGAAGGTGGTGTGGCAAGGCCTAAAAGACACAGTCAGATAGTTGTCAGCTCGCTGACGGTAAGGGAGAAGGTATATCCGTATTTCGCTGCTACTGATGCAGTCCTTGATCTGGCAATCAAGGCTTCTCTGTTTTTCTTCTAACTATGTACCGTTGGGCTTGTAGAACCCGTAGGGGGGGGGGGGGGGGGGCATACTTTCAACACTATTATATAACAAATAATTTGAGGAAAATTTATTGTGGGAAGGTGAAAGTTGGGCCCGTAATGTTAATATAAACCACCAATGCTACATCTTAAGTTGTAGAACCACAAAAACTCGCCTCTTTACTGTGTACACATAGGTTATAATGGTTTTGTGCACCAAGAGGAGTGAGGGAATGAGGGTTGAAGAGAGAGAGAGCTAGAGAGTTGTTAGGGTGGTTAGGATCAGTAGGTGGAGTGTTTGGTTGGAGCCTTCTGTTTTTGCTGTATAGCATTTTAGTCACTCCGCAGTTTATTAACTGTGTCTCAACTCTTGAATCCCCATAAACAAAGCAGGTATTTATCAAACACCTGGCTGGTAAAACAACGCTGCAATTTAAAAAAAGTCAGGTTGATATCGTTATTGTAGTATGCAGAAACTATTCATTTTGACAGCACGTGTACATACAATATGCACGTGCACATACAATTTGCACGTGCACATACAATATGCACGTGCACATACAATGTGCACGTGTACATTATCACATCACTTCCTGAGTATTTCCCAGTCGAACACGATGAGACGCCGTTTTATCTAACTCTTGTAAACTAAGTTGGTAAGTGCGCTGAATGTTGACGACACATTGTGTGTGCGATATTAGGTAACCGTAATAGCTAACAGTGTGCCCATTAGTTTACCTGCTCACAAGAACAATTCCGGGTATTATTATTATTGGGCAGTCTGTTACTGTATACATGATACGGTAACTGACCGGAAATAAAGCTTTGTGACGGCTCTGGACAACCAGACTAATGTTTTAATACCTTTACTTGGTCATCAGTTTTATAGTTTTCTTTCTTCATCCAGTTCATCTAGATTGTATGATTGGTTATCTAATATTTGGGGTACAAAATACTGCCAGCGGAGCCGGGGGGGGGGAGGGGGGGGGACGAATGCCAGATCTTTTGTTTGTTTTGTTAAGAATTATTTTAGGTGGGGGGCACATACTCGCACATAGGTAGGTTTCCATCAACAATTCAATGAATTGACTCCAATTCAGTTAATTGTTTCAGAATGTGATTGGAGAGTGTGAAGTTTGATCCTCATTGGAAACGTCTTGTTCCTACATAACTTGCTGTTATTGTAGTGTCTATATCACTGTACCACTTGCTGTTGTTCAATACTTCTTCTGTCATACAGGACGGAACACCCCGGTACACAACAACAAAGCTTTATACTTTAATAATAATTTTAATAATAACAATGTAGACGTGTGTTACAACTTACAACACAGCTGTCACGAGACCATCAGGTGTTCTTTTTCTTAGCTAGGGGTGCGAATTTAACGAAGGTAATAATCAATTGTAAATTTAGAGTTCTAATATCCAAATTTCCGTGTGTTTCAATTTTCACTGGTCCTCGATTTGACTCATTATTATACGTCTCATTAGAGAGCTGCGCAATTTGTGTCGTATAATAGCACGTACACAGTACAGGTGTATATATTGAGACAACTTCACGCGCATCATGAGAAGTCAACAATTAATGAAGGAATCCTACCTAACCAGACATCATGATGATCTACTAGGGGGGGGGGGGGGGGCCTCTACTACCATACAGACTGTCACGTCTCCGGTTACAGTTTGGTGAAAAGTTGGAACATTGTCACTCACAACTTTTAAAAGTATGCGTTGTGGGGAAACACAAGTGTAACTGGTCAACGATTAGTTAAAAAAAGAGAGTTTTTTTCGAACATTTCGATAAACATCATTTTGATAAAGTCAAATTCCAGTTAATGAGAAAAACTTAACTTTACTGTAACTAAAAAATGTCATTAATTTTCAACTTTTTCCTCCATGAGGAGTGACCTCATGAAGTTAATACTTAGATAATTAAAATAACTATTAATATTCCTTGACATCATTGCTCACTTTTTACTGCTATAATTAACAATGATTTGCAGCTAATTCATTAGTCGCCGTTCATGGTGTAAAAATTAAATTACAATTGCTCAAAGCTTTGAGAAATGTACACTCATTCGATGGGATGTAAGATTTAACTAAATTCTAAATTGTTAATTTTAGTTTTCTTTTTTAACATCACATGACTAAGTCCAGGAATGTTGCAGGATGTCTAACTCCAGTAGCTATGACGGAGTGTGCTCCTCTCAGTTTGAACACTATCTCCTCCTCCTCGTTATAATGTTCGTCTGTGTGTTCGGCTTCATTGGCAACACCCTCGTTACCATAGCAACCATGTATCGTAAAGCCTTTAGTGGTGACAATATATCCATAGTGTTTGTGAGGAACTTGGCGATTGCTGATCTGTTGTACATATTGATACAGGTATGTTTAATTATTGTACAATATAACACTGGTATAATTCAAACTAACTTAATTAGCTATTAACGGGCGGGAAAGCTAATTAAAATAACCTACACTAGCATACAACTGTTGCTAACAACAGTGTGTGGACATATATTCGTCACTTGTGTGCGCGAGTCTGCGTGCACGTGTATACATCTGACTAACTCCCGCCTCCTGCAGGTAGTCCCAGACATTGCAGTGCGTTTAAACTCCCACCAGTGGATACTAGGGCCCACGTGCTGCTTCATATCCGCGCACGCGGTCTACATCCCCGGGGCCGCTAACATGGCCTTTATCTTCTCCATCTCCCTCTACCGGCTCCTCTCCTGCAAGTTCCCCTTCCAGTTCAGGGAGACTATAACTATTCAGCAAGCTAACGTGTTCAGTATAGTGGTGTGGGCGTGGTCAGTGGTACCTAGTGTGCTGTACCTGTGTCATAACACTCAGGCTGTATTCCAGCCCCTCACTTCAGACTGTGAGGTTGTGTTTCAGAGAAAGGGACTGGTTAACCTCGTTATAGCCGGCCCTTATGTTGTAGTACCCTTCCTGGGACTCATCACTTGTAATATCTGGCTCTATTGTATCGCCAGGAAGTCCGCTGCTCGACTTGGTAAGTCTGCTCGACAAGCTCTTGTTACAATTGGAGCTGTCTCTGTTCTCTTCACTGTCTCCTGGCTGCCCTATATTGCCAGGAAGATTGTCATGATTGTAACTAAGAAGGATCTGAACTGGCCCATGAGACCTGATATCATGTTTTACGAGCTGAGTATCTTTGGGAACCCCATTATCTACACTGTTGTTAACGAGAGGTTCAAGGTTTTCTTAAAGAATCAACTGTTTTCTCTCATTAAACCCGGTCAACCTACCATACAGTTTTACACAAACAACTCACAATCAGAGCAGCAATCCCCTGCTCGCAAATCAAACAGTAAAACAACACTGGGGAATCAGGTTGCTAAGGGAACGCTGGGCAATCAGGTTGCTAGTCCTTTCAAGTGTTTTAAAGATAACAGAGTTAGCAGCGACACTATAACTGTGCAGCCCCTTGATCAATCTTTCTTGAACAGTTTACGGCAGAACGAACAAATTCAGCATTCGGCAAAGGGAAAATCCTGAACTAAATGTTTTTCATTCCAATACTGAATTGTCCTTTCGATATTCGCACAAACTTTGATTTGTTGCTTTATACTTTTAAGCTTTTATGGCATAGCAGAGGTCTTTCAAAGCATATTATATTATAGCCATTAATGATTTAAAATCAGAGATGTTTATACAATGAGCTTGAAGAAACAGAGACTATAACTTACAAGGTCAGGAACAGTGACTGTCGACGTTCGTTTAGAGTGATGATTTGCATTCCTGAGCACTGACCGGTCCGTGTGACAGTTGGAGTATATCTTCCTAGTGTTGAAGATACAGAACGAGGGTTTCAGCTGTCTTGCGTCGGCGTATGATAGGGACCTGTGAAATATTGATATTTATGATTCGTATATTTTAGTTTTACTTTTATTCTTTACTGTATCTATTGCATTTTTTTGTTACTTTTGATACCTTATTTTTGATTGTTTGGACAACTAAATGAATTTGATATGAATAAACAAGTCCTAACTACAATTCGTTCAAATGACTGGTATTTAAATGTACTAATGTAGGGGGGAGGCAATATTAAAAGCTACATGAGTTACTGGAGCTGCAACAACACCTGTAACATAAAGTCTCTTCAAGCGAGAAAGACAACGGTGAGTAAAACACGGCGTGTAATGTAACGCTCTGTAACGCTCTAGTACAAGCTGTGTGTAATGTAACGCTCTGTAACGCTCTAGTTTAATAATTAAGTTAAGTAAGTACAAGCTGTGTGTAATGTAACGCTATAGTTTAATAATTAAGTTAAGTAAGAACAAGCTGTGTGTAATGTAACGCTCTGTAACGCTCTAGTTTAATAATTAAGTTAAGTAAGTACAAGCTGTGGGTAATGTAACGCTATGTAACGCTCTAGTTTAATAATTAAGTTAAGTAAGTACAAGCTGTGGGTAATGTAACGCTATGTAACGCTCTAGTTTAATAATTAAGTTAAATAAGTACAAGCTGTGTGTAATGTAACGCTCTAGTTTAATAATTAAGTTAAGTAAGAACAAGCTGTGTGTAATGTAACGCTCTGTAACGCTCTAGTTTAATAATTAAGTTAAGTAAGTACAAGCTGTGTGTAATGTAACGCTCTGTAACTCTGTAACGCTCTAGTTTAATAATTAAGTTAAGTAAGTACAAGCTGTGTGTAATGTAACGTTATAGTTTAATAATTAAGTTAAGTAAGAACAAGCTGTGTGTAATGTAACGCTCTGTAACGCTCTAGTTTAATAATTAAGTTAAATAAGTACAAGCTGTGTGTAATGTAACGCTCTAGTTTAATATTTAAGTTAAGTAAGAACAAGCTGTGTGTAATGTAACGCTCTGTAACGCTCTAGTTTAATAATTAAGTTAAGTAAGTACAAGCTGTGTGTAATGTAACGCTCTGTAACACTCTAGTTTAATAATTAAGTTAAGTAAGTACAAGCTGTGTGTAATGTAACGCTCTGTAACGCTCTAGTTTAATAATTAAGTCAAGTAAGTACAAGCTGTGTGTAATGTAACGCTCTGTAACGCTCTAGTTTAATAATTAAGTTAAGCAAGAACAAGCTGTGTGTAATGTAACGCTCTGTAACGCTCTAGTTTAATAATTAAGTTAAGTAAGTACAAGCTGTGTGTAATGTAACGCTCTGTAACGCTCTAGTTTAATAATTAAGTTAAGTAAGTACAAGTTGTGTGTAATGTAACGCTCTGTAACACTCTAGTTTAATAATTAAGTTAAGTAAGTACAAGCTGTGTGTAATGTAACGCTCTGTAACGCTCTAGTTTAATAATTAAGTTAAGTAAGTACAAGCTGTGTGTAATGTAACGCTCTGTAACGCTCTAGTTTAATAATTAAGTTAAGTAAGTACAAGCTGTGTGTAATGTAACGCTCTAGTTTAATAATTAAGTTAAGTAAGAACAAGCTGTGTGTAATGTAACGCTCTGTAACGCTCTAGTTTAATAATTAAGTTAAGTAAGTACAAGCTGTGTGTAATGTAACGCTCTGTAACGCTCTAGTTTAATAATTAAGTTAAGTAAGTACAAGCTGTGTGTAATGTAACGCTCTAGTTTAATAATTAAGTTAAGTAAGTACAAGCTGTGGGCGGTTATACAATACATTTTATATTATTATTATTCAATACTGTAGAATATTCAATATACAGGGTGGGCCAAAAGTCAGTGTGCAAACGTTGGCCTTAATAGCTCAGTCACTGAGTGCCCAATTGAAATACTTCCTTCTGGTATGACTTAGTACCACCACTGGTTCGAGGAAATTGTCAACTCGAAAAATATTCGCGTTCATTTTTTTCAAATGGAGGTTCATTTTCACATTTATTTGATAGTTTGGATAGTCGGATCAAGCTAAATGTTATTGAATTGTGTTTGGCCATTCGAATTACGTTTGTCCTGAAAGAATTAGAACTGTAGCTTCTCAGATGACCGAGATATGAAGCATAACGAGTTTATTCATTACGTGTGATCAGGTGATTGGTTTACCTAATCACGTGATAAGGTGACCCCGTTAACTACCCCGTTAAACATTATGGGAATTGTTAAGGGTGCCCAATTAAGGTGTCGTGTCACGGTGTCACATAATCACCCATTCAATTTTGTTAACGAGATACGGACACGTTCATTTGAGTTTGAGGATATTGGTAAATATAAGTGACCCTATTAAAAGGCACAGTGTAGTTGACTTTGTCACACTATGAAATTACTTAAACCCTTGATGGTTAGGATAATCGTCTCATCCTCTAGGCTAACTTTGTCACATAACGATATCTTAATCAGGTGATAAGATATCGCTTAAATACGGCCGGCACGGAAATGGTTACATTGTCACACTATAAACATGTGACGGAGTAAATATGGACCCCTTGCTGCCGTTTTTGACCAAATTTTTGAGTGTCCAGTTGATTGGATGGGTACATATGACCATTACCTACATATTTGACGACTTTTTTCGTTAGATGGTGCATTCAGGTTTACTCTGTCACACATTAAAGAAAATATGTGATGAATGTTTAGGGCACCCTGATAAGCAATGTTGAGTAGTGTAAGTTTATTTGATGGCCTGGAAGTGCTGGGAATTGTTATTATATCATATAGTCGTAAGGAATTAAAACACAGAAGGCACAACCAAGCTTACTTTGTCACATAATCTTGATGATATCTGAACATGTGTGAAATTGAACAAATAATGATATACTAGCTTAAACCCCTTATATTATACGTACTATGGATCAAACAACACTGCTAGTACCATGCACCAGTCACATAAATCATTATCAGGTGGTAATATGATAACAGTGTCACAATTAAACTACCGCTACATGGTCAAAAATAGGGTAATTTCGTCACACAAAATTATTATAACTCTGTTAGCTCCTTGCTGGCAAAATAACTAGTTTATCGAAATTTTTTTGATGATAAAGTAATATAGTAATCTAATAGAGGTATAGTTATTCAAAATAAGGGCAAGACATGTTTACTTTGTCACATCAGTTATTATAAGAGTTAGGAAATCGTCATCAGATTAAAAGATATTTTTCGTAGTTTGGATCGATTAATACTTTAATATACCTGTAATAAATCCTATGCCAAATATAACACACTATCTTGATACTGTTGGGGCAGGGAAAGTTAATTTTGTCACATTTTCAATGTCTTTGACAAATTAATCTAAATTTTTAAAATTGAGCTCTTATGAGTATTGCTGAAAGCACAGTGTAAGGCCTACACGGACCGCCTCTGGACAATATTCTTCCAATCGTTTCTGAAAGAATGTTGAATTCTAATAGAGTTATAGATCTTCAAAATAGGGGCAAGACATGTTTACTTTGTCACATCAGTTATTATAAGAGTTGGGTAATCGTCATCACATTGACATATATTTTTTTGTAGTTTGGATTGATTTATATAGGTAATAAAGCAGCCTATGCAAATTTTTACACACTATCTTGAAATTGTTGGGGCATGAAAAGTTAATTTTGTCACATTTTTAGTGACTTTGTTAAAATTGTTAAACTAAAATTGTTAAACTTAAGCTCTGATGTTCCGGACAATATTCTAATAGAGGTATAGAATATAGATCTTCAAAATAGGGGCAAGACATGTTTACTTTGTCACATCAGTTATTATAAGAGTTATTATAAGAGACTATTTCATTCTATAATCATTGTTTTTAATCTATTTACGATTTCGTATAATTTTTTGTGACAATGTAAACATCAACTGATCTTAACTTGCATCAACTATATTGTCATCATATAAAATTTTCCCGCCTTTCAAACCAAAATCAGATATAAATAATTCGCTCAAAATTTTAAATTTCATATATTGTGACAGAATTAACCTCATTTCCCAATAACCGAGTGCCTGTATTAGCTAATTATTCAAAACAACATATTTTAGGGCTATGATCGGTAGAGCAACCATCAAATAATGAGTTGAAAGGGTTTTTAGGACACCTCACAGTAGAATAGAGGTATGGTATCATGAGTGTGACAAAGTTACCCACATATTGCCTTGTAACCGTTCGATCCGTGCCCATTAACCAATGTTGTATCATAATTGTTAGATTGACCTAATTTACTATATTTCAGACCAAGGAATGATAATTAGACAACTGCAGTTAACTAAGTCACACAAAATGTGACATTTGAAACATTATGGTGCCTAACAACAATAGATTTTCTTTCTGAGCGGTGCATATGGGAGTATGGGTTACGTGGCTAATGTTCAGAACTTCTGAACGTGCTAGGTTAATAGATGTCAAAATTAAGCCACTATCGTCAAAAACGCTATTATTTTTGTTTACCAATATCCTCAAACTCAAATGAACGTGTCCATACACAAAATGCTTGATAACTTCGTCATTTCTAATCCGTTTTGCCTCATGTTTTCAGATCATATGCAACATTTGATAATCTACCGTCTCTGAAAAAATTAGGCGTTCATCATGTTCAGAGAAAACAATATAGGTGTTTTAATATTGAATGGGCGTGGTCTAAAATATTCGAATTTTCAAATTTTGACGACGGAATCCTCGAACCAGTAAGTACAGTATGCCATCTGCAAAGCAACAGCTCTCAAATATAAAACACGGCGGAGGTATAAGACCCAACGTTTGCACACTGACTTTTGGCCCATCCTGTAGAATTGCCAAATCAACTGAGGACCATCTCCACCAGTAAACATATTATAATATAATATACTGTCCCTCATATAAACTTTCTGCAGACTACAGGTGGGCTTTAAGGGACGAGGGAGGGGTGGGTAATTGTTCGGAGCGTTAGTAGCGTGTTGAGATTACCGGGCTGCTCCACACAGCAAGCTATAATTAGATTACACGTGTTTTATAACGGGAGGTATGTGGGTTTTGTGTAGCCTGGTACGTGACTTTTGTGACTTTAGTCGTGTGTCTGTACAAAGCTTAGAGCCTTTGTCACATTGTGTACTACATTGGAATGCCGAAAACTCGCAATTTGTCAGTTCAGAGCACTATTGTCTGTTTATGTTTTGTTATTACTGTTTATTTTACTTGTACTCGTCCATCTGGCTGACCCTTTTTGAAATTCCTCACACGTCATTTTACAAACTGAGCATTTGTGCAGTTCCGTTCACATCGTACAAACTGAGCATTTGTGCAGTTCCGTTCACATCGTACAAACTGAGCATTATGCAGGTCCGTTCACATCGTACAAACTGAGCATTTGTGCAGTTCCGTTCACATCGTACAAACTGAGCATTTGTGCAGTTCCGTTCACATCGTACAAACTGAGCATTTGTGCAGTTCCGTTCACATCGTACAAACTGAGCATTTGTGCAGTTCCGTTCACATTGTACAAACTGAGCATTTGTGCAGTTCCGTTCACATCGTACAAACTGAGCATTTGTGCAGTTCCGTTCACATCGTACAAACTGAGCATTTGTGCAGTTCCGTTCACATCGTACAAACTGAGCATTTGTGCAGTTCCGTTCACATCGTACAAACTGAGCATTTGTGCAGTTCCGTTCACATCGTACAAACTGAGCATTTGTGCAGTTCCGTTCACATCGTACAAACTGAGCATTTGTGCAGTTCCGTTCACATCGTACAAACTGAGCATTTGTGCAGTTCACACGTCATCGTACAAACTGAGCATTTGTGCAGTTCAAGAGCATACAGGTCTGAATATCACATGCTACTAAAGATCGTTACTGCTCTTTGCCTGTATTTGATATGAAATTCCAAGAGTTATGATTACTCCTTATTTAAGATGCGCACTGTCACCGTGTTAACTGCGTTAACCGTGTTAGGTTACCTTGTAAATCATGCTATTTCTCCTAATTTTAGTCATAAATATTTGGCATTTTAACGTACATTTTCTCCAGCACTACTTTATTATCGTAAATATTTGATATTTTAATATCTGTTTTCCTTTAAACCGGGCTAAGATGAGGAAGTAGCCTGTTGTTGTTGTTGTTGTGTCTATCATTCTTTCGTCATTGAGAGAATTGAATAATAATGAAATCGTATATTATTACAATTTAAATCTCACTAAAGTTTACACACTTTACCTCACAAAACTGTAATTTTGAGGTGTAATAATGGCTGCTTACGGTACACGTATAGCCTTGCTCTTTACAAAGGTGAAACGTTGTACACTATCACTATACACTATACACTATATACTATACACTATACACTGTACACTATACGCTGTACACTATACACTGTACACTATCACTATACACTATACAGTATACACGGTACAATATACACAATATACACTGTACACTCTCATTATACACTATACACTATATACTATACACTATACACTATACACTGTACACTATACGCTGTACACTATACACTGTACACTATCACTATACACTATACAGTATACACGGTACAATATACACAATATACACTGTACACTATCATTAAACACTATACACTGTACACTGTACACTATATAATACACTATCACTATACACTATACACTATATACACTGTACACTATACACTGTACACTATATACTGTACACTGTACACTATACACTATACATTATACACGGTACACTATACACATTACACAATATACACTGTACACTATCGTCTATCACTATACACTATACACTATATAATACACTATCAATATACACTATACACTATATACACTGCACACTATACACTACATAACACTTTACACTATACACACACTATACACTATACACTATATACACTATCTCGTGTACTGTATGTAGTAACATTTCAAATTGTACACTCTCGAGCATTTGCTTATTTTACCTCACTCAATATTACCTTATATGGTTATATTACTTTATATGGTTATATTACTTTATATGGTAATGATTCCGATAACGATGACGTAATCATAACGTGTTGTTTCCTAAGGGACATACTGGGGAAAGCCTGACGAGACTATTAGGACAGCGTCATATCAAAATACTGGAGAAAATAGAGATTTTAAAGGTAAAAAGAGCGTGATAAGTGTAGCACCAAACCCCCCCGCCCCCCCCCCCCCCCCCCCCCCCCCTTGATTAATCTGTGTTTATTGAATTATCTAACAGATAAAAACACTATGAAAGTCACGAAGAAACTGAATGGCTAATCTTGTCAATCAACATATTTAACCTCAGGAAGAAGACGAGCACTACCTCGAGCAGACGTCTCAACAACATGAACAGGTATATACAATATACACTATACACTATACAATATACACTATACAATATACACTATACACTATACAATATACACTATACAATATACACTATACAACAGGTGAATTATTACTAAAGTTCAGCTAGGGTAAAGGAAAAAGTATCTCAGCATCTGGTTCAGACGTCCCATTTTCATATAATTCATTATAACTAATACGACCAATCCCAGAAGGCCAAGGGGACAGAAGATGTGGTGGTAGAAGATGTGGTGGTAGAAAATATCAAGTCACCAGACCCCGTCATGCAGGTACTTAAAGTAGAGGACAAGTAAAGTAGAGGGCAAGTAAAGTAGAGGACAAGTAAAGTAGAGGACAAGTAAAGTAGAGGACAAGTAAAGTAGAGGGAAAGTAAAGTAGAGGGCAAGTAAAGTAGAGGACAAGTAAAGTAGGGCGATAAAGTAGAGGGCAAGTAAAGTAGAGGGCAAGTAAAGTAGGGCAAGTGGCAGCATGGTGCATTGTATTTTAGCTTCGGAGAAAATAGCAAAAAACCTTCACCATGGAAAAAATCGAAGATTTGTGATTCTAGCATAAATAGCGACCTGCGCACTGTTTATCCCCAAGGCTAAGTTATAATACAAATTTAAGGGTTGTCTATCCCAGGAAACTGTAGTTGCTGAGAGAAGTTACGTGTTAAACCACGTTAAGAAACCTAAGCTAAGTCTAAGTCTAGAGGAGGTGGTGCTGCAGCACGAGGCTGCAGCTACAGCCGGGAGAGCCAGTACCCCTAAAAACGCTTGGAAGAATCACAACTCTACTTTCAACCAGGCTAAACAGCAACGCATCCGCACTACTAACCGTACTCCGGGCCGCCGAGCTTGTTAAATCATACTCATTAACTCTGGAACTGGTTTGACTATATTAATATGGCTGTGGCGGTTAATGTTACTTCGGCCTTTTGGTGACAAAAATTAAATAGAGATTCTGGAAACTAACTTTTTTTCTCTCAAATTGTTAAAATTAAGAACGAACAATTTGGAGTAGCGTCGGTAAACCTTTATCACACTTTCTTTTACTTGGCTGCTTCGCGTGACTTTTTTTGCATTTGTCAACGTTATATTTGCATTACAAGCTACAACCTTTTTTTAATTTACAAATCTTTCCAAAGATTTGAACTATTTTGGATGATGTTTTTAATGATTTTTGTTGAACAGATTCTCGTGTAATTGATTCCTCTTTATTTTCTTGGGTGAAGATTTAGATGTAATATATCTTCATGTTTTTTAATGTGCTAATGGTATTTCTATTTCTGATAGTTATTGTTTCTGATTTAAGAACGGGTCGAATGAACACTTACTACTTACGTTGGTAACAACGCATAATATTATCTGTTTTTTTAAACGATGCATCAACTGAAGTAGTTCTTGATAACAATTTCTATTTCAATATACCCCCACCCCCTCCCCCACCCCCCCCCCCCCCCCCCCCCCCCCCCCCATTTCAAGCACTAACCAAGGCAGTTTAAGGACGAATCTAGTAGTGAGCGCCTGGAAAGGGTAAGCCACATCAATCTTCTCAACTCTCCACCCCATAAAGGAGCCGGTAGCGGGGCTCACGCAAACAACCATGTCGAAACTCTGAGGGGAATATTATTCAAACTGAGAAGCTATTAGTGACAAGAGAAACGCCATTGTTATTTGTTGGACGTTAAATATTTTAAAAATATAAAAATAAGACGGCTATTGAGAATGGTCACTAACCTTGTACCAGTATTTGAGAAGTTGAGACTCAGTGTATTGGTATTCTCGCATGTCCTTGACTTTTCCCATCTTCAACTCCAACATCTCCTTCTTTATCGGCTCATTAGGCTGGTCAGTGTCAGACACAACAAAGTCCTCCTCCTCTGCAATATCGTAGGAACTGACGGACAATCCTTCAGAGAGCATCAGCTCCCCTTTCAGCCGGGCATTCTCCAAACAAACACTGAAACATGTTGAAGTGAGCAGATGTGTTAGACTGGTTGCGGAGTAAAGAAGTTTCTAGAAAGAAAGGAATACCTAGAAGGAACCTGTAAAAATGTACTTGACTATAACCTGTAAGAGTGTGCCTTGTTGTTGAACCATTGGAATATGTAGGGAGATCCTTCAATCTTCTTTTCAGTTGACTCCTTTAATGGATCCAACACAGTGCCTGGAGAGTGTTTCAATTTCAGTAAATAACTCATTACCGTTAATCATCACCTCTAATACTCGCACTCAACCTAATTAACCATAGAAATACATGTAGATAAGCTAGAAAGTACCTAGCACGAATGACTTGGTGATAGAATGTCTAGCAGAGATAGAGGGATGAACACTTGGAGCCTCCAGCCAGATCCTCCCGATACAGTCGTGACAGGAGGTCAGGAGGACTTGTCTCACTGAGTCACTGCAAATGAGGGTCGTTAGGAAAACATAGAGTTTACATACTTATTTTAAATGTTATCAGTTACATATGTTGGAAATCACGTGATTTACTTCCCCTAGCCCCCCCCCCCCCCCTTACCTTTAACATCCTGATGTTACGTACACTCAACCTCCCCCCCACACTCACACACACACACTCACACACACACACACACAACTTACACGGGGAGCTCTGGAGAGACAGCCCGCCAACAAGCTCCGATAACAACGTCAGGATGCAGAATCAGTTCACTCCTGTAATCCTTGCCTCCTGAAAAACATCATTTTCTATAGTGACAACATTACTCAATGTGAGAGCTTATTTCTTATCGGTCTTCTCACTCAACATCAAATGTAATGGCTAGATGGCAGATGTAAATAACAATTCACGGCGTTTTTATCTGATAGAGCTGCATAATTTAAAATATGAGGTGACGTGCGCGCGACCAACTAATTATAAACATCTCCGCGCATTCCTGCGCCCATCATCTGTAGACCGTTTTCCGCCTACCTCCAGAGTATTTACTCTCGGTTTTAATGGCACGGCCCCTTTATATTGGTTATCATTGTCATATTACCAGTATTATTCTACCCTATCCTATCTTATTCTGACTTATCGAGAATTGAGCCGTCAGATATAGATGAGGGTAAGCGTGCCATAAATGGGGGCAAGAAATGGGGGCGTGCCACAAATATTTATAATACATTGCCTCCCTGGCTATTTTGAAAACTATTCACGTACCTTTCATCTTCTTCCATAGTTTTATAACTTTAGAGTTCCGGGACAGGGTTGTAAAGAATCTGCCGTCTGGAGAAACAGTTACTTGGCTGGTTTCTTCTGTCAAACTAGGATTATACAGGGTTAACTTAAATTGCTTTTATTCCCATTTGTATGAAAACACACAGAAACACACAGAAACACACAGAACAAAGCATAAGCACACAGAACAAAGCACTTGGTAACCCTTTTAACGCTCCCCTCACTTACTGGGTACTCCAGGCGCACTTCCAATCTGCAGTTCTGTAGATAAGAAGCTCAGTACCCGTCACTATAAGCTCACTTCCATCGTTATTGAATGTAGCACACGCCACACGTGACCCTATAGATAGTGTGTACGATACACTCCACGTGTAGGGGTATTCCTGGAATGTTATAATCTGAGAAACGAGAAAATATAATCTATATCCTGGTTTTCTACACTTTTACATTTCAAAGAAGCGATTATTATCAATACTTGCTGGACAAGATGGGAAACACATATATTTTATTCGCATCGTATGAGGACTGTAATACCTGATAATATAATATATTCATTATTCACTCTATGAAATAAAACTATTTGAACTCATGAAGTTCCTATACAGTACTTCCTATACCTCAATATTCAAATATTATAGGCCATTACTTACATCATCATCTACTGAAGACTGAGCTGATAGAATGTACACTGAATGGGACGAAACTGCGCCGATCTGATGGCAGGTGTATAAGTTATTATTCTAACTTAATTCATTATCTGTGTATTTATTAATGTATTTTAAATTATTCTAAATTATTTGCAATTGAATACGAGAAAACATGGAACAGTAAAAGCATCTCAACTACATTTATAATTAAATATTGAGACATGTCAATAAAAGAGCGTAAAAGTAACTGATATTGAGACATGTCAGTAAAAGAGTGTAAAAGTAACTAACTAATTAAATATTGAGATATGTTCACATGTCAATAATAGAGTTTAAAAGTAACTGACCCTGCCAGATAGCGGACACAGTGTGATGGCTGTTATCTGAGATCTGCAGCCGCTAATGTTGCTTATCAGCTGCACTCTGTGAAACGCATCGTCTAGTACAACAATATCACACCCTGTACAGTACACCTGAACAAGGAGGGGTTAACAACAATATCACACCCTGTACAGTACACCTGAACAAGGAGGGGTTAACAACAATATCACACCCTGTACAGTACACCTGAACAAGGAGGGGTTAACAACAATATCACACCCTGTGGCCTGTACACTACACCTGAACAAGGAGGGGGATCAGGTACTACGTTCTGTACGTGACGTCGATTAAGTGTAATTTTGGAATTTTTCAAAAGACCCACCCACCCCCTTCGCGATACTAACTATTTTTTCGGGTGATAATTAAGACACCCACCCCTTTTTCCGGCTTTTGCGTTACTAAATGTTGAAAAATCACGGTATTAACTGTGTCTTGGTATTTAAAATAAGATACCCACCCAGAAATTAAAGACTTAGTTCCGACATAGCAGTAGTAGTAGTAGTAGTTTTTGGCAAATTAGACCTAAGACCCACTATTTAGTACCATGTGTTGTGTTTACTGTTAGTTTTAAAGAATATATTTATTGTTAATTAGTGTTATTTGTTTTAGATGTTTTAAAGGTATTCATAGTCACAAATCACATCACATCATGCTCCACTGCACATTATTTTCACATCAAATAACAAGCACTAGCACAATCCACTTGCAGCACCAATTCACTTCATATGCACAAAGTCAGCCCAGTTCATTTCACCTTGGAGATTCATAACACTAATCACTCGTCATTGTCACGTGTTCACTTCACCACGACTTCACAACCATTCAAATAGTAGCTTCATGTCTCATGGTCACGAATCATTCGTCACGTGTCATTCCATATATAAGTGCCGTTTTATAATTATTTGAGAGGTCATGTTCGAGCAGTTCTGTTATCTTCTATTGCCTATGTTCTTTTATAAATCTTCATTCTACTTTCTAGAATAATACCTCATAGTTATATAGTGTTTCCTTTGTACAAGAACATCGTAAAACACCATGTACTAACTGTTTTTCTGGGAAAATGAGCAGCAGACCTAGACCCAGTACTTGGCAGTCGGCACCTAATACCCCCCCCCCTCCCCTGGTACAGTACTCGACACCTGATTCCCTCCTCCTTCGAACAAGGAGAGGTTACATTAAAGGACCAGTTAACTGAAAAATTTGTAGTCTCCAATTTGGCTAAGATTTAAATCAGCTGTGACAAACTGGTAAAGAATCGTATCGCCGAAAGAACCAATTCTCTAGCGTACGTGTAACGCGTGTTATTGCAATAATAAGCTGTGGCCTCGTGACGTCATAAAGTCCCTCAGTGCGCGCTTGCATAGCGTAATACATTGCAAATGTTTATCATCGTCAATAAAACACGTGTAACTCACTCAAATTTTAGAATTATGACTATTACCCTAGTTCTCCAAAATCCTTATAGTTTTGGCTATCATTCTAACTAAAGAAATAGCTGATTGGATGTACAGTGCTCACGTCATGATTTTAAACAGTGGTATAGGTTCTTGAACAGTGGCGGGTGAATGTACGGTTAGAAAGTTTCTGCTATTACAACTTATGTCATATGTGATAATTTTGAATTGTTTTCATTGCTTAATTACACAAGCAGGGAGACTGCACCGATTATTTTTCCCCAGTCCATGAAACTCTAACGAATTTAGAAAGGATCTAGATAAGTAGGAGTTTTTTTCAATTCCGAGAGCAATTATATTTATATCATAGCGAAATTTCTAACTTTAATCCGCATGTGTCAGCCAGTACAGGAGACAAGAAGTCAGGCTACTTTACGGCCGTTCCTCTGGGACCATTAGTAGAAGTAGCTTCTATCAGAACAGTGCCGTGGGAACAGAATTCCCGCCAAAATACCCGGTCTACCAAATAGTAATACTGATTGGAGTGTACGGTGTGCGGTGTGTTTTGAATTAGACTTACGGCTTACCTAGTTGTTATCCTAATTGCATTATCATCGGTACATAACATAAATAAACTACTGGTAAGTTTAAATACCAAGTGCAAACGTGTTCAGTCAATCGACCCACTGAACAACTATAGAATTTCCAAGACCCTATTATTCTCTGGCCATATATTACGGCACGATCGATTGTTAGATGGCTAAACGACCAACGTTAATCTATACAATTCTAAAACTATGAGCTAGCACTTTAATCTAAAAATACACTTTTTATATTACTCCTGATTTTTACATTTCACGTAAAACATTGTCGCCACAGGTTGATCATGGACACTAACAGCTTAATTTGAGATAAATGACTTGTGAGTTTCTCTAAAGTTAACTTTAAAGTTGTGTAGTCCAGTCATTTATGGACATTCATGGAAATGAACCTGCAAATGTTCAAATACTCACGAAACTTTGCACAGACCTTCCTGAAGGTCTGAATAAACGATTTCCGTTTGGAGACATTTTTTTGACCGTGGAGAAAACCCAGGAGGGCCACGCCCATATTGACCCAATAACGTAACCGACCCCTTGCTTCTGAAGGTCGTAGAGACTTCAAAATAGGCATAACGAAGCGGCATATGCATGTTTATATAGGAGCTACTGAGCAACACATGGCCTAAAATCCTTAATTTTCGAGAGATTTGCCAAAAACCATTTTGGGCGTGGTACTGAGCCCATTTTTGATAGGATCGTGATAGAGTCTTTAGACAGGGTGCAAAAGAACCGCAATTAGCATATTAATACATGACTTACGAACAAACATATGCCTTAAAGTGCTTACTTTTTCAGTTATTGGCGAAAAACTGATTTTCGGTTCCAGAAATCATGCAAAACTATGGGTGTCTGGTAAATTGGGCTATGAAGGCCCTAAAGGTTTTTAAATGTGTGCAAATTGTGCAGAATGGCCATGTTTATATACAACTTATGAAGCAACATGTACCCTAAATTACTTACTTTTCGAGTTATTCGGGGAAAAACATTGTATTATGTCCATTTTCTACCTGTAAAATACAGTCTAACGAGCTCCTCTGCGCGCGCAAGGGACTTTATGACGTCATCGCCAAAATAATACAAACGCTATTTACACGCGTTAGAGAGCAGTTAAAGATTTAGGAATTTCGACTCGTTGCTTAGTTTGCTATTTGTCACAATCTGTCAAAATATGAGGATAACTTTTTTTTCAGTTAACTGGTCCTTAAATACTAGCTATTTGATAACTTGTTATTAACAATTAGTGTTAAAACTTATCTCAATGTGAACTACAAGCTACAGGGGGGGGGGGGGGGGGGGGGGGGCGGGGGCTATTTGCAAAGTAGGGACAATGTGAACTACAAGCTACAGGGGGGGGGGGCTGGGGGCTATTTGCAAAGTAGGGACAATGTGAACTACAAGCTACAGGGGGGGGGGGTCTGGGGCGGGGCCCGCTATTTGCAAAGTAGGGACAATGTGAACTACAAGCTACAGGGGGGGGGGGGGGCTATTTGCAAAGTAGTATTTGCCCCTGAATGCACATACCGTGTATCCTATACCATTGCAGGAGCAGTGAGCTACTGTAGAGTTGCCGTTGTTAGCGGCTCCTGATAGCACCTGCTGACATCTCATATTTAACAGAGCATCCTCTCCTTACATTCTCCTTGGAAAGGGATTAGTTTTACTAATATCAAACAGATTGTCTAGTTTACTCCCTTTATTAAAATATTTCCAATGTTTGATTAAAGTAATCTTCTTGGTCGCATAATTAGAGTATTGAGAGAAATTGAAAGAAACTCAGTATTGTAAATCAATGAACTTTGCATCACGGAAACCATATTAATCGTAAAGAGTGTAAAAATGAGCCAAAAAAAGCTCAAGTAAATCAAATATTCAACGTCTGGTAGTCACACTTGAGATAGCTTGTGGTTAGTTCTTTAATGGAAACGTGACGTCACTAAATGTCCTCAATAATATAAGTTGGTAAACAAAAGTTAATATTAATTCCACAAATGAAGGCAGAAGAGCCAAGTCTGCTCGAATGAGCAGATTATACAATAAGTATAACTGCTGCCATTCCAAGAAAACTGTAGAATCATAATCCCTTGCCTCAAATTACCAATGACCAATTAAAAAAAGTTTTGCAAAAATATAATCGTGTTCAACTACTGTAATAAATTAATTGACAAACAATCTAGAATTTTGGTGTGTTGAAGAACCAGAAGTGTTCAGATAAGGTGATAGCATCACCCCTGAGGTGCTGTCATCATTTGACTGAAGTCCTGCAGATCTGCCATACTGACAGGTTTAACGTTATACTCATCACATACTTCCCACTGGCATTGTATCCCTACATACAGTGCTGACAAGTGCGCTGCTTCTGCTTCTGTCTTTACCAGCTCCAGCGCTTTCTTGAAACACTCCAGAGCTTCAGGGTACATCTGCTTCTGAATGTAGATCATACCCAGGTTCTCCAGAACAAAGTCACACTTCGAGTCTGCTTCGTGGGCCTCGTTCAGTAGAACTAAAGCTGAGTCGAAGTTGTTTTCGGCCATCATTTTCAAAGTAGCAACATGAGCTTTGTAAGTAACATTGCCAGGTTCAAGTCGTTGAGCCTCTAAGAACTTCTCCTCTGCAGCAGAAAATTGGCGCTGATCCTGCAGTACCTGCCCATAGAGAGCAAAGACATCAGAAACATCAGCAAACCTCTCCACCATCTTCCCCAGGTTCTTAAACACCTGATCCAGGAGACTGGGGGTCATGGTGCGCGCCATCTGGTACTGTCCATATACCAGCTGGGTCCAGGGGGCCGGGAACTCATCATCTAACTCTATACACTTCTCCAAGTCCTTGATAGCATTAGCCAGATCCTCAATACTGAGGTAACATTGAGCTCGGTGAAGGTAGGGGTCAGGGTGGTCCTCATCTGTCTGCACTGCAGTGTTATAGTCAGCTAGTGCTCGCAGTTTGTCCCCCTTTGCTTGGTACACTTCTCCACGGTGGATGTGGGCCTGGATCTTCAGCCTCATGTAGCTTTTAGGGTCCATTATCACTGCATCAAAGTTCTGTATGGCAGTCTTATGGTCTGCCATTACCCACGAGAATATTCCACGGAGACATCTGAGCTGATTTAAGAACTTTACGGGTTCCTCCTTCAAAGCTTTATCTAATTTAGAGGGAACTACGTCGTAGTCTCGCTTCTCAAGATCTGCTAATATCTCAATGTAGAGCTTGTCCCCCGTATTGTCAAGTGATTCAGGAGTGACTGTAGAGTGGAAGTCTCGCATGTGTATGTTGTCCAGGGCTGACTTGATCACAGTGTGAGACGGTAGTCTGGGTTTCCTGGACAACATCAACTTCTTAGCTTGTTCATCACCATACGCTTTCAGGACACGATCACTTGTTGCCATGTAACCAGCTTTCATAGACTTTTCAGGGCCCTCAATCAGACAGACAGCCGTCCAATCTTTTATTGAGGACTCGTATTTATTTAGCTTCTCATATGCCGTGGCTCGTCGCTGAATTGCTTTGATGTATTTCTGGTTAAGGTCGAGAGCTAGGCTACAATACTTCACCACTTCCTCGTACTTGCCTAGCTTCTCTGAAGCAGCTGCCATGTTCTGGTAACAGTGGGATTTCTCCACTGGGTTAGCTTCCGGGTACAGGTCTATAGCCTCCAGGTAGCACGCGATGGCATCGTCAAACTCTGATTTCTTGAAGAAGGCGTTACCTGCCCCCTTCCTCTTATCAGCCTGCTCCAAAGCAGTGAGCTCAGGTTCTTCTTCTACCTTATCCACTGACTTTGGGGCATCTGTTTCTTCTGTTGGTGTTTCTGCAGACTTTTCCTCAGAGCTCTCCCCACTGGACATATAGTAAATAGCGCCACCTAACGCTAGTGCTGTTCCTGCAGCTGCAACACCCAACACTATCTTAGTTTTGGTGTCCGTCAAGTCCACATTGTAAAGCTTGCTCCCTACCATCTCCGCTACCTGCAGTTGTGGTATTAGTAACTTTAGTAAACTAAGTAACCTTAGTAACTTTAGCTTAGTAACCTTAGTAACCTTAGTAACCTTAACTTAGTAACCTCAGTAACCACTACCTGCAGTTGAGCTGCAATAGTGATCTTAGTAAACATTAAATTATTATATTAGATCTATATTTTAGAACTTTATAAGATTTTAGATAATATGTGTCCCATAAATGCAGCACTGATTAGCTCTCTGGGATGTTTATTAAACTATTGGAGAGCTACTCCTTATGACGTCACTACTCCTTGTGACGTCACTACTCCTGGTGACGTCACTACTCCTGGTGACGTCACTACTCCTGGTGACGTCACTACATTTGCAGGACTGATTAGCTCTCTGGGATGTTTATTAAACTATTGGAGAGCTAGATTTGCATTGTTATTATATATGAAATTGTTAGAGTGACTCGAATCTCAGAATCTGTATGTTTTTAAAAGTTTACCTCAGTCTCGGATCACTCCTCAACTTAATATGGGTGACTACTTGAGTCACTAGAGTCTAGAGGAGACGTTGTTTTTGTTTTACATTTCCACATATTTTATTAAATAGAATTGTAGCTGTACGTGACGATTTCTTCATGAGGAAACAATTTCCGGGTGAATCCTTATCATATATTAGATTTCCCGATGATAAACCAGATAACTAGATAAGGTATGGACATCAAAGTTATCTCTTATTTTCTTGATAACACTAAATATTTGATAATTTTTTGCCGAAAAACGATATCAACCCGCTGATTGAACGAAGCTAGATGCTTAATTGAGTTACCTTAAAAGGGGGACTACCAAATCATCTGCAATTCTGCAAACACTTTTTGATGGATAATTTTCAAAATATCCTCAATTAGTTTAGGCGAGGATCTTGATCTTTTGATTATACTAAAATGTCCAGAATTGAGCTAAAATGAACTCAATTCGTGAACAATTTAGTCATTTAGTAATGGCTTGGTTCTTTTAAGCACAGTACATATAATTGCTTAATGTCGCTTGGTCCTTAATTCGTTCACAGATTTGTAAACTTTTCGTTCGTTGTATTCGAGCAAGCCTTACATATTTTTGTGAATAAAAGTGCACCCCATATCACATGGGCCATGTATAAAAGTATTCACATTATTGTCGTTTATTATTGTCGTTTATTATTGTCATTTGTTATTGTCATTTGTTATTGTCGTTTATTATTGTCGTATATTAAGTTAATGAAAGTATCTACTGTCAGCACTGTTTACAGAGAGAACCATGAAAGCTGTGCTACTGTCAGCACTAGTTGTACTAGTCTACTCTACCCCACCACAGCGACCACCAGTCCCCAGATGTGCTACTGTAAAGAGAGAAGCTGGGCTGACTGAAGGTTTTCCAATAAACGTGGCCCATCGGCTGCACAGCCTCACTCTAGAGGATCTCCGGTTAGTTAATACTTAGTAGCCACATTCTTACTCTTAGTAACCTTAGTAACCTTAGTTACTTAGTAGCCACATTCTCACTCTTAGTAACCTTAGTAACCTTAGTTACTTAGTAGCCACATTCTTACTCTTAGTAACCTTAGTAACCTTAGTTACTTAGTAGCCACATTCTCACTCTCAGTAACCTTAGTAACCTTAGTTACTTAGTAGCCACATTCTCACTCTTAGTAACCTTAGTAACCTTAGTTACTTAGTAGCCACATTCTCACTCTTAGTAACCTTAGTAACCTTAGTTACTTAGTAGCCACATTCTCACTCTTAGTAACCTTAGTAACCTTAGTTACTTAGTAGCCACATTCTCACTCTTAGTAACCTTAGTAACCTTAGTTACTTAGTAGCCACATTCTCACTCTCAGTAACCTTAGTAACCTTAGTTACTTAGTAGCCACATTCTCACTCTTAGTAACCTTAGTAACCTTAGTTACTTAGTAGCCACATTCTCACTCTCAGTAACCTTAGTAACCTTAGTTACTTAGTAGCCACATTCTCACTCTCAGTAACCTTAGTAACCTTAGTTACTTAGTAGCCACATTCTCACTCTTAGTAACCTTAGTAACCTTAGTTACTTAGTAGCCACATTCTCACTCTTAGTAACCTTAGTAACCTTAGTTACTTAGTAGCCACATTCTCACTCTCAGTAACCTTAGTAACCTTAGTTACTTAGTAGCCACATTCTCACTCTTAGTAACCTTAGTAACCTTAGTTACTTAGTAGCCACATTCTCACTCTCAGTAACCTTAGTAACCTTAGTTACTTAGTAGCCACATTCTCACTCTCAGTAACCTTAGTAACCTTAGTTACTTAGTAGCCACATTCTCACTCTTAGTAACCTTAGTAACCTTAGTTACTTAGTAGCCACATTCTCACTCTTAGTAACCTTAGTAACCTTAGTTACTTAGTAGCCACATTCTCACTCTTAGTAACCTTAGTAACCTTAGTTACTTAGTAGCCACATTCTCACTCTTAGTAACATTCGTAGCCACATTCTTGGTTCTGATTTAGAGTTTCATAATAGAAAACAATTTGTAAAACGATTTATTTCTGGAGATGGTTAAAATAAAATTTAAGTTTATTACAAAAGGTACTACTTCAACTCGAAAGCACCTGTGGACAATGGAATTCCAACAGTTAACTTCAACCTGACTAAGAACGCTCCAAGGGTGGTTCCCAACGCTCCCCTCTTTGGATTTGACACTGACTTTGGAACACAGGCCATGAGACATCTTGATCAGGTTTGTTAAAGCTCTTAAACTCAGTTAACTAGCTACAGACATTAACAAGCAGATTGAAAGCAGATAACAAGCTGCAGATAACTTTCTTCTTAACTACTCCTAACCAATATACAGGTGCTCCGCAACATGGACAAGCAGATAACAAGCAGATAACTTCCCTCCTAACTTCTCCTAACCAATATACAGGTGCTCCGCAACATGGACAAGCTAAACTTTGGTATAACAAACTACAGTGTCCTGGAGAAAGTGGCCCACGTTATGCACATGGCAGAGCTCTGGAACCAAGCCAAGAAATACTACGAGATAATGGAGGAGAAGTCCCCCTCCGAGGAGCTGTGCGGGTGTGTTAATGATGTGGCTGAGAACGGTGTCCTGTCCGAGTTGGAGCTGCTCGCCCTCAAGATCAAGTATCCTGGCTTAACGTCCGGTCAGTAGGTTTAGGTTTCTATTGGGGGGGGGGGGGGGGGGGGGGACAAAAGGAAATCGCGGCATGTACGAAATCGTGATTTTTACCATTATTTGCGACGAATTTTGGCCAAAATAATTGCGAAATCCTTTTGTCCCTGATTGGGGAGGGGGGCTCACCCCCCTCCTCTATTTCGAGTAACATGACCAGAATATACCTAGGTTTCACAACCTCCTTTACAAGCACTAAACATACTCTTATTTACAGGAAGAGCAGACCTGCCCTACGGACTACCTCCTCATTCCAAAGAAGGAGTATCTAGTAAGCAGCTGTTTTATATTTAATTAACTATTAATATTAAAATCGTTATCAATACTGAAATCCTGCACATATCTCATACCTACACTACATTTTCCAGAAGTATAGGATCTTTTGAGAACGCCTCAAGAAAAATAAGCTAAAATCAAAAAAACAAAAATATAAATTTACAGTTCAAACGAATTTTTACAGTTTTATGAAATATCTGAAATTTCATGAAACTTTTTTCAATTCGTTATTCTCACATTTAATTATTATATTCTTCCTGCCTGCAATTAAGCACTTTGAACTGTACAGTTCTCAAACCAAATATATTTAACAAATTTTTAGGACCATAAATAAGTTTTCTAATTCAGATAATTACCAAAATCTCCTTTCAGTGCAGCTAGACGAGCGCAGAAAAGCTTACGAAATTTCTTACACACTAAAAACAGACGCTGAGACCAGGTCACCAATATTTCAAAAACATCTGAGAAAGTTTGATTTTGAGGGGGACGAGGACGAGGTTCTAGCAAGGTATGTTGCACAATATATCACATTATATAATATATATCAGTCACATTGCTACACAATATTTGCTACCAGTTAGAAACACGTGCGGAGTCTATTAGAAATACCACTGTTCACAGGGGGTGTAGTGTGCAGTTAAATACCACTGTTCACAGGGGGTGTAGTGTGCAGTTAAATACCACTGTTCACAGGGGGTGTAGTGTGCAGTTAAATACCACTGTTCACACAGGGGGGGGTGTAGTGTGCAGTTAAATACCACTGTTCACAGGGGGTGTAGTGTGCAGTTAAATACCACTGTTCACAGGGGGTGTAGTGTGCAGTTAAATACCACTGTTCACAGGGGGTGTAGTGTGCAGTTAAATACCACTGTTCACAGGGGGTGTAGTGTGCAGTTAAATACCACTGTTCACAGGGGGTGTAGTGTGCAGTTAAATACCACTGTTCACAGGGGGTGTAGTGTGCAGTTAAATACCACTGTTCACAGGGGGTGTAGTGTGCAGTTAAATACCACTGTTCACAGGGGGTGTAGTGTGCAGTTAAATACCACTGTTCACAGGGGGTGTAGTGTGCAGTTAAATACCACTGTTCACAGGGGGTGTAGTGTGCAGTTAAATACCACTGTTCACAGGGGGTGTAGTGTGCAGTTAAATACCACTGTTCTGAGTATGTTAAAACCTGATACTAAATTAACACAGGGCAATGGAAGAGCTACAGGACGGTGACCAGGGACTAGATACACACCTGGACAGTGAAGATGGTTGGGCGTCATGGAGACAAGGTGCTCAATATCAAAATAAAAACTGTGTACAGTTTATTACATACCTCAAAATAAAAGAATGCTTTTTACAATTTAAAAATTCAAATCCAGCTTCATTCATTCTGATCATCTGCAGGATTCAAGGGAATGGATGACCATGGAAACTTCGAGTTTGCAATGTTCATCTACTGCAAGTTAAACCAGTGAAACGGAACTTAACAGAGCAAATAAAAGACTACGAAATGGACAAAACACAATTGTTACCGTTAAAGGAATTATCATTTAAAAAAGACAAATCAGTGATAGTAGTAGCTTAGTGATCAATATTCAATAAGTTTCTTTCTTGTGATTGATAGGAGCTGAACAGCTAGATTATCGAATATAATATAAAGTACTGCCAAGTTCATAGATATAAAAGACCTAAATTATACAATTCAAAATGTATATAATATAACAAATAATTTTAGATTAATCTGACCAGATTGCAAAAAACAGTTTATTGACTTTTACTTCTCGAAAACTAGAAATCATTTTACAAAGTGTGAAATTTTGCAAAATTTAAATTTAATAAGTGAACATCATTTAAAAAACTATGTATCAGTTGATCTGTTTCTACATGAAGTACTAAAGAACAGTTTCAACGATAAAGATGCAAATAACAATTTAAAGGAAGAACATTGAGTCTGAGATCATGATTGGTCATCAACTATTACCACCTTTAGTTCAGCCTCAATTTCAGGCTGCTCAAGTTCACTTAGTGCTTGAGGTAGGGGTGTACCCACCCCTACTTGAGGAGCAATGCTCTCCTCCTCATAATCCACCATTTCCTCCTTTACCTTGTCCAGCAGCTCTCCTACCTTGTTCTCTTTAACAGGTACTATAGGCTCACCAGTACACAGATAAGTTTTGTGAACAGAGCACTTAGCAGCGCTAGGGAAGGTAGTCCCGCACTTCTCACATGTCACTTCAGTAGGATCTACATACTTGCAGAACTTAGCATGGTGCAGCACGTCCGCCATCCTGTAGAACTTCTCCCCACAGGCCCCGCAGTTCAGCTTCCTGTCCTTCTTGGGGCACTGGTGCTCCTTGTAGAGCGTGTGGTTCCCGAATGTAACTGTGCAGGCTCTGCATCTAGTCGTCCTGACTACGTGCTTCTCTTTGTTGTGCCGGGTCAGCTCGAGTGAGGTGCTGAAAACTGCCCCGCACTTCTCCTGCTCCTCACATGACTTGTTCTGGTCACGTGACATGTTCTGGTCACGTGATTTGTTCTGGTCACACTTGTAGGGGAAGGAGTCCCCGTGGGAGATCCTCATGTGATTGTTCTTGTGACCCGGCTGTCTGAACATCTGAGGACAGTACAGACAACTGTAGTGCTTCTCACCTGTGTGAGTGAAAGTGTGGAGTAGCAACTGGCGGGAGTTCCTGAAGCACTTCACGCAGAACTTGCATCTGAAGGGCTTGTTGGTTTTATGTTGCTCCACACAGTGTGTTTTCAGCTCGTTCATTGTCATGAAGGTAAGTCCACAGTAAATACACGGGTATGCACCAGTGTGGTCGGTTAAACCCAAGTCTTGGTATGTTGTTGTAGCTGGGAAGTCAACAGGTTCCTGTTTTGGAGCTTTCATGTGAGAAGCAGTAGGTGAACTGGGGGCGCGCTTGGTTCCCACTGGAGAAGTGGGTAAAGTGGTGGGTTTGGGAACATTCTTACTGACTGGTCTTGTACTGGAGACATCAGAGCGGGGACTTGTTGTTGAGTGTTTGCTTTCACCTGGGACAAATAGTTTATAACTTGTAGTTTTAGTTTTATAAGTAACAGTAAAGCTAAAGATAACTTTAAAATGACTGAATAACGATAGGTACCTGATATGGAGTCACTTCTCTTGTTGCTTCCTCCAGTAGAACCTGGGATTACCATAAAGTTTATCATTTATTAAAAAGATAATGATCATTATTATTCACTATTTGATACACAATTCTATCACTGAACATGTATACACACTTCAAATATTTTCTAAATATCATCCTTACCTAGCCCAAGCTTTTCATTTTTCTTTGTAGTGTAACCCGGCACTGGAATTCAAGTAATTAGGTTACACAAGTTTAAACCTTCACTCACTGATGGTGAACATGAAATGTAGGAAATATGACACGAAATGATAATCTTTAAAAAAATAAAAAACACGAAAGCTAGTTTGCATTGATACAATGATGAATACAACTAATGATGAATCAAGACAATAGGAAAGTAGTTCACGTAATTTAAATATAAATATCAAATACTAGCTTAAATACCTTGTTTGGTAGTTTTTTGAGTATTTCTCTTAGAATTTCCCCTCTCGTGCACTGAAAGTAATATAATGATGGGTATGGTCAAAATAACTCATTAGATTCAACAACATTTTATAAACACCCAGATGTATTTGGAATAGTCACTACCTACAAGTCTAACTATAAAAGTCTATAAAAACAGCATGTTACAAACCTAAAATCTCTCTATAATCTGGTTTTGGATAAAAGCGTTCAATTTTAGCCAAACAGTCGGCATCCAGACCGCTCCCAAGAGTGTTATACACAGAAACTTTCTGCTGCAAAGATTTACACAGGACTGGTTTCTTTGTCTTAGCATCTGATTCCAAGGTTAAAGCAAAGTCGTTTTCACCGAAGAAGATAACGGTATCTGGATCAATGGACTCAGGAAATCCCCATGTAGTAGTGATTTCTATCTCTTTATCAATCCTAGGGCAATCGTCCACCTCAACCATGAGCCTTAGTGTAACAAATGTTAATATAACTGTTCAAAAAATATACAAATCTTTATCCTGGATATCAACAACATTAAAGTTCTATTTTATGAAGAATTTCCCAAATTGTTAAGAAACAAAATTTCCTAAACTATATTTGTTACTTAAATTTAAACAGATTTCCTTCTAAATTAACCAAAATAAAGATGATATTCTACATTTCAAACAATTATTACATTCAAACCATGTCATGAAATCTTGTAAAAAACAAATGTATGCTAAAATTGAGTACAAAAACAAAACTTGCTATAGAATAGTCTAAAAAATGTACAGTGAATTTGAGAATAAGCTTATCATTATCTTATGTGCAGCTCATAGCTAACTGATTGTTATCCGATCCATCGAGTTTAAAAGCTTTGATTTCAGTACTCTTGTAATGAACAATAAGTTCAAAATTTCTAACTTCAACGTCACAATTTGCAGCAAAAAGGTTTACATCGAGCATTGAAGTAGAATTCAGCTCCTGATTCAGTATTCTTAGTAACTCATCTTCACGATAAAAGGAAGCCGAGTATTCTTGATCTGACATTCCACGACTTTTAACTGCCATGTGAAATGATGAACCTGGCTGTTGGTTATTGTCAAGGTAAATGTAAACACGGGGTGGAGTTTCCATCGGGCACTTGTAAGAAACTTTAACACAGATGTAAACAATCTCGAAACAGTTAGACTGTTTTATTTTACTATTTTCATTTTCATCGAGAGAACTATTCACCATCTGAAGAGTTTTCTCTTTGTTTATCTCAAAATTTTGAATAGATGCCATGAGACTTTTTACTGTGCTATGTAAATCAATCCATTTGCGATCAGCGATGTAAATATCAGCACCATTATGGTCTGTACCACAGGATACCATCTCTTGAGTAGCGTTCCTTTCTAATGATATCTCACAAGAGACATTTCTCCATGATTTGATAGCTGGGATGGGCTCAATAAGTGAGCATTGTCTTGGTGAGAAGGGGACCAAATCATGTCTATTACTTGTGAGCTCAAGAAGTGAAACACGCGAGTCTCCATCATATGTTACATAAGAAGAGGGTAACATCTCCAAAAAGTTATCAAACAACACTTTTCTAGAGCTTTCTTCGATATCAAGAACTGTGTTAATCAACCCAAGTCGCTTTGACTTATTGATGTTGGACAGAAAAGACCCACCGACATGGGTTTTGATATTGCTTTTTATTCCATCATCATCAAGCAGTCTATGAATGTGCAGTAAAACTTGCTTCAGGACTGAAACAAAGTTTACTGATGAGCAACCCAGTAGGAGGCCAGCTTTTCTCCAAATGTGTGAACAAATAGCGATTTTAATTGAGAGCACTCTCCAATCTACAGATGGAGCAGTTGAAAATGCTTCAATAGCGTCCATCTCGGCTTTGTCAAAGTTTCTTCTTGCTTCCTCAAAGTCATTCGAATGAAACATTTGAACTCCAGACCTCAAAAGGAAAGTAGCAGACCGAAGCTTTTGAAGTTTTAGGTCTTCTAGATCCTTTGAAATAGCACCAATTTTGCTTTCAAATATAGTGAGAAGTTGCTCATTTGTGTAATCTCCTTTTTCTAGATTCTTACAAAAGTAATACCGTATTATTTGAAATCCTGACCTTACTCCAACAGCAACAAGTGATGACATATCGTTCAAGTACTATGAGACATCAGGATTCGGGATCTGAAGAGAGGATTAAATCATGTTTAAAATAAGGAAAGGATAATATATCTAGATATTGGTGGGGAGGTAAGCAAAGTGTTTGCTGACACATGAAAACGATTAATTAATCAACTACCTGAATTTATTAATCACTGTCACATGTGTCAGCAAAAACTCCAAAAAAGTCTCCTTCCCGCTTCTATCCAGATATTTAAAACGAATTTCGGTTTAAATTAATCATCTACTAAAATCTCTGTTTTACAAAAAATTGTAATATTCGAAATATATATTTAATATTAATTATTGAAATGTTGGTGATGAGCGTCTTACTGGGCGGCGCTAAGCCTGTCATTCCGCCTAAACTGTAAAAGTTCATGTATTGATAACATTTTAACAAACAAAATAGAGAATGTAGTCTTATCAGGTGTTATCGAGGAGCGGCTTGGTGAGCATGCCCCTATATTTACCTTTACCTCAGCAGAGACCCCTCGCAATACAGAGCCCCAGAAACATGTCCGATATTATGATTACTCAAGCTCCAAATTAAAAAGTTTTGTAACTGAACTTGAGGTGAAGGTAAACCAGCTGACTCCTTCGACACAATTTGATGAGTTTACGGCATGTTTTGACCAGACACTTGATAAACACTGTAAACTGGAAGTACCAAAAGTGACAAAAAGAACTCCGAAACTCAACCCATGGATTACAGACGGTATCATCCAGTCAGTAGAAAGAAAACATGAACTACGTAAGGAGTGGTCTGACACTGTTACCAATAAGAACCCTGGTGGTAATCTCTTGTTCTACCAAGTATTTAGCAATTATCGTAGGATGCTTAAAGCCATCATTAAAGCTGCCAAACGTTCGCATTACTGCAACGAAATCCTCAACAACTGTGAAAACAGCAAGAAAACTTGGCAAATTATCAATGAGCTTAGAGGCAAGAAGAAGAGACAAACCAAACCCCCGTTTATCATTGATAATCAAAGAATAGTTGATAGAAGGACAATCGCTAATGGATTCAATGCTTGGTTTGTCTCTATTGCACCCAAGCTCAATGAGACGCTTAATGACCTATCTCATGGCATACCTATATTACCCATGAAAACTTTCTATGACTTCCTGAATAAAAGAAATGAAAAAACTATTATGCTAGAAGATTGCTCCCCGAACGAAATATTGAAAATTATAAATCAGTTTGAAAACGGCAAAGCTAGTGACATTCCAATAAGTGTAATAAAAAAGTCATCTCATATAATTGCACCTGTCTTATCAAATTACTTCAATATCCTTATGGCCGAAGGTATATTTCCAGATGTCCTGAAAACTGGTAAGATAACACCTATAGTTGTGGACACAACAAGAAAATTGAGAATAATCTTGTGCGAGGGTAGGGACCCAGATGTCGTTTCTAACCCAAATAAACTTTAAGGAGGCTTCTCATCAGTAGCCGCACCTCCTTACTCGGTTTCTGAACTGGAATTCTATGGGCTTCCAGACGGCCAGACCGAGTATTACACTGTCTGTCTTCGGTAAAATCTTCGAAAAGCTCATTTACTCAAGAATATACGGATTTGTTAGCTCTCAAGGAGCCATATCGGAGACACAGTTTGGATTTAGGCAATCCCATTCTACATCTCATGCAGTCAATTACTCTGTAGATTTAATTCAATGAAACGAAAAGTTTTCAATGAAACGAAAAGTTTTATTTTACATTCCTTTAATCATAAATAAAATAAGAGCTTAAACCATGACCACGAATTAGTTAGCTAGAAGTAAACTTGAGGAAATATTTTTGGTGATTGTATATAATTATTTAAAAAACTTTATTTGGTTGTTAGTATTTTAATTATGGTAAGTGGTTGAATTTAGTGAGACAAGGTCAGTTTCTCTATTATCTTAGAAAAATTTCTACTTTACAGTAGGCAATGCTGAGTGGCAGGAATGAGGGACCAAAACGCTTGGGGCTAACAATGGCCCATTTACAAACCACTTCAGACATGGCAATGATGTCATTTATGCTTAATTCGTCTGAAACTGACCCTACTGCACTTGTAACATTCTATAAAAATCTCTTCTAAAATAGGTATAAAAATGCATAACACAAAACACACAAACAAAATGTTTATAATCCTTATATAATAAATTTCTATAGAACTTTTAAATTTCTATAAAACTAATAAACCTATATAATATATATTCATTTTGCACCCAGAGAAAGATGTGATCACAGAGGTAGTTTCGATATTATGTTCATGACAAGGTATGGGGCTGCTGCAAGTTATATTTTGCTAAGATATTACCGCTTTTTCAAGCTTAAGTAATCTAGGCAAGGTCAATTTTAAAGTTTTTGAATTTTGTCGAACGCTGTTTAAGGCTAAGTCCCAGTCATTTGGTTCTCCTTCCTTTTGAGTGTGAGTGATGGTGATTCTTATGGATGATTTGAGGTGATTGGGCTTATAACAGGTGAATGTAGTTAGCATGAGATTTTGTCGTACTGTATTCCATATTGTCCCTGCTCTGTATATGTAGCTGTCTGATGGTTTAGGTGTGAGAATGAGGGTCTCTTTGCCAAGTCTGCCAGATGTTTCAAAGAGGGAGTATAGTGATATAGGGGTTCTATATTTCAAGACCTTGAAGATGTCATTAATACAATGGTAGAAGTACAGATTATGCACATTCATGATTTCATGAGTGTTGAAGAGGGGTTTTGTATGCTCCTTTCTGTAGAATTCCTTGCCCAAGATTTGCTCCCCGTAGGGTCTGCATCGTGCACTAGTTTTAAATTTATCCAAGTATGCTTCTTTATCTCCAAACATTATGCGGGCACACATTTTCTGTGCTTTGAACAGAGGTTCAAGTTTTTTGTTAGATGCCCCTCCCCAGACAGTTATACCATATGCAAGATAGCTTTCAAACAGAGTGTGATATAGATCTTTATGGAGTGATGTGGGAATGTTATCTTTACGGCCAGGTAGCGCAGTTGGTTAGAACGCCTGTCTTACAATCGTTAGGTTGCGAGTTCGAAACCCACTGACTGCCTGGTTGTGGGGTGAGCGTCGTCGACGTTCAACTAAGGATCATGAGTGGTCTATGCAGCCCCCCGGTCTACTCAGCCGAATACTCGAGAAATCGGGTGTGAGGGTTAAATGAGGAGCTGCACATTGCAGCAAAGTCTCGGACGAAGAAAGTATGGTACACACTACCTTAACCGTCACTGGCCAAAAAGATCCTTCGGCTTCCTGTAATTGGCTGGTTGCACTTGTGTAACATTGTGGCTGTTGGAATACCCCGAAGTAAAATAAGTGTCTAGATA